TGGCCGTTCCCGCAGGAAATCCGTGTTCTCGCTGAACGAGGTGGGGCAGATGAACGGCACGGCCGGCGGGGCGGGCGCCGGGGGCGGCGGCGGTGGCAGTGAGGATGGAGAGATGCCCGAGGTGCACGAGATCGGCGAGGAGCTGGCCTGGACCGGCAGGTGAGCGAGGAGCACGCCCCAAAAACCTCCCGAGGGGGCTGCGTCCATCAGCGTCACCTGCGGGCACATCCTGGGGCAAAGAAAAAGTCAAATCCGGGTGGGAACGGGATTTTGTGCAGAAAAATACAGAAATATAGCAATATAGAAATGTAGAAATATAGAAACATAGAAATATATATAGAAATATAGAAATATAGAAATAAACACAGAAATGTAGCAATATAGAAACACAGGAATATAGAAATAAATACGTAGAAATATAAATATCATATATGCATTCATATAAATATTATACATAATAATTTATAAATAGTTCATTATTTATAAACAGTTATTTATGAACATTTATAAGATACGGATTTACATGATATTATATTATATCAGTGTATAAATATTTATGTGTCTCCCAACTGGCCAGGGAGGCTGTGACATCCCTGGGAGTATCCAAGGCCAGGCTGGAGCACCCTGGGACAGGGGAGGGGTCCCTGGGGTGGCATTGAGGGGTCTTTAGGGCACCTCCCAACCCAAACCATTCTGGGATTTTGGGATTGTCCAGCCCCTCTGGAGCTGGGCTGGGAAAGCTGGGAATGTCCAATGGACACTCCAGGGAGAGCTCAGAGCCCCTGGCAGGGCCTGGAGGGGCTCCAGGAGAGCTGGAGAGGGACTGGGGACAAGGGATGGAGGGACAGGACACAGGGAATGGGGTCACACTGGGAAAGGGGGATTGAAATGGGATTTTGGGAGGGACTTCCTGGCTGGGATGGAATTCCCAGAGCAGCTGTGGCTGCCCCTGGATCCCTGGCAGTGTCCGAGGCCAGGCTGGAGCACCCTGGGACAGGGGGGTGTCACTGCCATGGTGGGGTGGCCCTGGATGGGCCCTGAGGTCTCTCCCATCCCAAATTTCTCTGGATTCCCTGATTCTGTTCTGGTGGGAGTCCCYAGCTCCTCACTGCTGTCCCYGCAGGTTTTGCGGTGGCCTCTACCTGGATATCAAGAGGAAGCTGCCCTGGTTCCCGAGYGACTTCTACGAAGGTTTCCATATCCAGAGCATCTCCGCCATCCTCTTCATCTACCTGGGCTGCATCACCAACGCCATCACCTTCGGCGGCCTGCTGGGAGACGCCACCGACAACTACCAGGTACGGCCAGGGGGTCAGCGGTGTGGGGACAGCAGGGGTGGGGTGGGATCTGTGGGATGGGATGGGATCCATGGGATGGGATCCATGGGATGGGATGGGATGGGATGGGATGGGATCCATGAGATCCATGGGATCCATGGGATGGGAAAGGATAAAAAGGATAAAAAGGGATGGAAAAGGATGGCAAAGGATGGGTTGGGTTTTACCCCACTTGCACCATGCCAAGCTTTTGGGGTTGGAAGTTCACTGCCAGATGGGACGGGCAGCCCTGGACTCCCTGCAGGGTGGGACAAGGACAACCCCCCCAATGGCAGCCCCAGGGGCACAGGGACACGGGACAGAGGGCAGAGGGACACGGTCCCAAACCTGCCATGAGGCCGAGGCCCTTCATCCCCGTGTYCATCTGTGGGGTCTGTGGGAAATGTGGGATCTCTGGGATCTGTGGGATCTGTTGTATCTGTGGGGTCTGTGGGAGCTGTGGGAACTGTGGGATCTGTGGGGTGCATGGGATCTCTGGGATCTGTGGGATCTGTTGTATCTGTGGGGTCTGTGGGAGCTGTGGGAACTGTGGGATCTGTGGGGTGCATGGGATCTCTGGGATTCGTGGGATCTCTGGTATCCATGGGATCTTCGCTGTCTGTGGGATCTGTGGGATCTCTGGGAACTGCGGGATCTATGTGATCTATGTGATCTCTGGGATCTGTGGGATCCATGCCATGGCACAGCAACCCCATAACGCTGCCCCACTCATTCCCCAGGGCGTCATGGAAAGCTTCCTGGGCACGGCCATGGCCGGCTCCATGTTCTGCCTCTTCGCGGGGCAGCCCCTCATCATCCTCAGCAGCACCGGCCCCATCCTCATCTTCGAGAAGCTGCTCTTCGACTTCAGCAAGTGAGCACCGGGCGATCGGGGTGGCGCCTGACCGGGCTTGCCTAAAACTGAGCTTTTCAGACAAAATTCAGAGAATCCAAAGCAGTTCTGTTTATTGAGGGGCCTTCAGGTGCATTGAGGGCAGTTCCAGCCCACTCAGGGGCTGCACCCAAAATGGACGGTGGCTCACGGGTTTTTCACTTTTTATTGAAATTTTCCCAAAATGGACCATGGCTCACACTTAGAGAAAACAAATAGAGAAAATATAGGAAATATAAAAAATATAGAATCACAGAGTTAAAGAGACATGGAAATAGAGAAAATATAGGAAATAGAGACAATATAGAAAACAGAGAAAATAGAGAATCACGGGGTTACAGAGACATGAAAAACATAGAAAATATAGAAAATATAGAAAACATAGAAAATATAGAAAATATAGAAAATATAGAAAATATAGGAAATGTAGGAAATTTAGAAAATGTAGAAAATACAGAAAATATAAAAAATATATAATCGTAGGGTTACAGAGATATGAAAAATAGAGAAAATAGAGAAAATAGAGAAAATAGAGAAAATAGAGAAAATAGAGAAAATAGAGAAAACAGAGAATCACAGGGTTACAGAGACATGAAAATATAGAAAATACAGGAAATATAGAAAATATAGAAAATATAGAAAATATAGAAAACATAGAAAACATAGAAAATATAGAAAATATAGAAAATATAGAAAATA